GTACAAAATATTTTTGTTTATTTTAGGTATACTTTATTCAACATTTCTTCAATGTAAATATATTTTACGTATTATTTGTGATATGGGTAAATTAGTTATGGAGGTTAAGCTATAACTTTAAATCTAATAAATTGTAGTTGGAATAAAATAAGAACACCATAAATGCATGACCTGAACTACAATACAGTTTAACTAATAATAAGGAGTCAAAAGTAATGATGAAACAGGGGTCAATGAAGTTAAGAATAGAATTGAACCGATACGAAGAAAGTAGCCATTCACACACAAAAATCAATAAAAGTGATTTCTTTCTGTACATAAAATGCTCATTAATGAGTTCCCTCGACTCATCTATTTACCAATCCACTATAATTTTATTTACGAGGTGTGTTCATAGGAAAAGGTGAATTTTGATTTTTCGTGGGCTGTGTACATTCGATTATCGATATTATATACTTGTATTTTTTATAATCGGACACATATGTTTATCATGTGCTTGCTATAGGAGCTAATTTCGATTATTTTCGAATTTTGTTTTTGACAAAAGAAAATGTTAGTCACGGTTTTATGTGCTCTTCGATTTTTGACTTTTTAAAGAAATAGATTAAAGAATATGGCTTGAATTTTGCGTTAAAAATGGAATATAGTGATCTAAGGCACTTCATATACTGACTGTGGCATTCGGTGGGTCCACTTTGTTTCAACAAAGTGTTTATAAGTGGTACAAGCGCTTTACAGAAGGGAGAGAGAGAGAAGATGTTGATGACTATGAGCATCCTGGAGCTGCGACCACGTCAACAAGCGAAGAAAACATCGAAACAGTGAAAAAAATTGTTCTTGAAAATCGTCGAATCATTATTAGCGAAGTTACAGAGGATGTTGGCATAGCAATCGGCTCATGCCATGAATTTTTCTCGAAAATTTTGGACATGAAACGTGTGGCGGCGAAGGTTGTTCCGAAATTGCTAAATTTTGAGCAAAAGCAATATCGCATTAGTGTCGCTGAGGAGTTTTTGAATGACGTCAACAACGATCCGGGTTTATTTTTTCACCAGATGTGGCTCCCTGCCACTTTTTCCTATTCCCAAAACTGAAGAAACCAATGAAAGGAAAGCGTTTTGCCACAATTGTTGAGATCAAGTCAGAATCGCAGAAAGAGCTGATTTCCATACCGAAAAGCGCATTTCAGAAGTGCTTCGAGGATTGGAAAAATCGTTGGCACAAGTGTATTATAACCGACCCTGATTATTTTCAAGGGGACAAAAAAGATATTATAAATAAATAAGTACTTAAAAAAAATTCAAAATTTAACTTTTACTTTGAACACACCTCGTATTTATTTAAATTTTATATTGCATAATTTTCTATGGAAATTTGAGGTATTTAAATGTTCTCGCACAAAATTAGCAGCCAGTAGCAAATTGATAGATCGTAATTGTTTTTAATAAATAATTTACACAACTGTAATAATTAATGACAAGTAATGGCTTATGGAATATTTCGGTCGATTTAATTTTTAGTAATGCATTTTTTATTTATAAATCATCATTTTCCGACAGTTCGTAAATTGTTAAACACACATTTTGTATATGAAGGCATAAATTGAACAAAATTTCTCTCTAATGTGAGTGGAAAAAGAAATGCGCTGATGTAGTTATATTAGATTATTTATCAAAACTTCGGCTTCACTTAACTATTGTTTCAATTCAATTTAAAGTTTGAAAGAGTAAATGAATTAAAAATGTTAGTTTACTGTTATTTTTTGGCAATCAAACGAAGTGCTTATTTATAAATGCTCACGCAAAAACAAGAACAATATGTGCTAGAATTTCTTTAAAAAAATATTGAACAAACAAATATCGAATGATTGCTTTGAGTGTGATTGCTTTGCTCGGACAAAATATTTTGTTTAAATATAGCGTGGAGCTCTATTAAATGCCATTTCTGCAACGCAAACTGACCACAAAATCCAGTTGTATGCGTGTGGCATGAACAGCTTGCTTGCAACCAAAAACAAAGCGGAGCATGCATAAATGCATGGCGAACAGTGCGTGGCAATGAATGAAAGAGTTTTGCCGTAAATAAAGTTTGTTGTTGTTGTTTAAAAAATTTCCCTCCTTGTTTGCAAACTGACTGGCTGACTCACTGACTCACTGTCCAAGTTAGCAACTGCATTAAAAGAAATGCTTCATTGTTGCACCAACCAAGCAAGCAAAATGCCAGAAAGAGGAAGGGCCTGCACATTAGTGGACTATTGAATTCCTTTCGAGTGATTATGCAGAATAGTTGCAACCGAGTGTTATCTGCGCTGTCTTAACTCGGCACTTCTTGGTGCCTCTCAAGTTATGGATAAATACCAAGTGGTAATGCTGCAAGAGTAATTAAAAGCGAAACTGCACAACTCCTCTACTCTACTTACTAAAAATCACATTTGTGTGTAAGCACAATTGTGCATTGTAAGAATGCGAAAAGTAGGAAGTTTTAATGATTGCAAGGTAGAAAAAATGAAGAGAAATTCTTATAATCAAAATGTAAAATAGTCTGCCGGCTTCACGGAGAGCAGAAGATGAGAATAAGGCAGTCCAGCGATGGTAATAAATAAAGATGCGAGTTTTGTAGAACTCTTTTGCATTCAATGAAGAAAAAATTTGCAATCCTGCAGCGGAACGATTAGTTATCACAGGTACATACATTGCGAGTATGCGGTCTCCTGGGCAACGCAGGTATACTCCGGCTTAATAAAAGACGCCAACGTATTGCGCGCGCTTGTGGCAATGCGTAGTTCGTCGTCCACAGCTAACCGCTCAATACAAAGAAGTTTGCTTCACATTTGTTTTGCCATGTACTCATTTACACACACACATCTACAATTCTGGGTCACCGCTGCATCGGCGCTGATGCAAATGCTGAGCTTTGCCTCTATGCAAGCACGCAATGGCCTCTGGTTTGTAATACTATTTACAATTTCTGCTTTCGAATAGCTGTGATATAAGCTAACGGTTTGTAGTGTGGCAAATATTTGCGGAGAAAGTTCTTTTTTCATTTCCTCATTTCCTCAAATTTCAATTTCCGACTGACGTTTGTCGTTTGCCATCGCATTAAATACGTTTGCATATCATTTGCTAGCCACACACACATACACGCATGCAAATGTGCACAGTAATGTGTGGAAAAAGTGCAGCGTACTTGTGCATATATGTATAAGCACACATATATATATATATACTCGTATATATATGGTTATAGGATTAAAGGCATGTTGAATGCTGAGAGAAATATATATATTATGTACCATATATTCCTCTTTTTCGGATGACTTGAAGAAAAAATTGGTCAAGTTGTGAAGCAACATTTATATATAAATGGTATGCACCAGGACGACGGAGCTTTTACAAACGTGCATACTTTTTCTTTTTGAATTCGAAAATTGTTAGCTCTCTCTCTCTCTCTGTACACTTATTAAAACGCTTGTATTATTAAAGTAACATCACATGTGATAATAATTAATAAAAAATAAGGAAAAAGTTGGAATTTTGGTAAAAAAAGGTTTTTGAATCATTTTCGATTAAAAGAAAAATGGAAAAAATATTGTTAAATAATATAAAATTCTAAATATAAATTGGTTATATATAAAATTCTATTCTTGGTGAATTAACTTTTTACCAACATTTTACAAAAATAATTGTGCTTTAAAGACTAAGATTTGTGACGTCATTTAAATTATTCAAGATTTTTATTTGCACGCAACATCGTATAAAAAATGTTTTGGGGCAGCCTAAAGCACGCAACTGCATTTTCAATACATACCTTCATAAATTCGTACACATATGCGCATAAGAGCTGCCATGTTGTTGCGCTATTATGTTGCATGGCTAGGCGCCGCAAAGCGCCTGCTTCCACGCTGCTGTGCTGCGCCACTTCGTGTTGCAATTGGAATGCACATATTTAAGCACCCTTTATATGTAGCATATAATATGGGAATGTATGTGGATGTGAACATTTTCGAGTACAAGTTTGTTTTGTTGCCGCATGAAGTGGCGTGTAGTGCATATTGCTGCCGCTTTGTTTAGCAGTACTTACAATGGTTGAGCATGTTGCATGCACAGTTGCATGTAAATTCAGCAAGTTGCGCTCACACATCCACAGCAGGTGCATGAGGACCGTTACACTTTTGCTTTTTTTTTTTTGATTTGTCATTTGCAACGACAAGTATTTATTTATGTATTTGCATCGTTGATTTGTTTATTGTGCGCGCGCTGTTGTTTGCCTCAGTATTGGTGGTTTTCTAGTTCTCCTTCAACTTTCCTTCGATACTTTTTAGAACATTTCAATTGCATACTTACATGCAACACATTTGTTTGTAACGTAGAAAGTGTTTTCACAGTATTATTTTCTACTTCTACTTGCAGTACCAAGCTCACGAATCGCCTGCGATTGAAGCAAAAACAGAAGCTGGTAGAAAGGAAAGTGGAACAAACACCCTAAACGACACCTACGGAGCAGTTTGACTGGATACATAGAAAAATCGGAGTAAGACACATATGCGATTAGGCATACGCCAAAGTCGAAAGACATCCACTGAGAAAATTTCACGGAAAACACAACAGACGCGCATTGTGATGCGCGTAGGCAACACCTGCCCCAATAAATTCAAATAAAGCGTAGCGATAAGCAGAGTTATAAGCTTAGACCACGGGCGGATTCGTTGAACTCAATCGTACGCATCGGCAACAGCGGCTGCAGCGGATACAATTCAAGCGGGCGTTTCCTCTCGCAAGTGTAGCGAGGAACGTGCGGCAGGTATTAGCACTGCGGCGCAACAAAAGCCCTTTATTATCCGCCACATCTTTGCCACTTGAAGTGATAGCAACAGTGCATATATCCTTTGAGCGCGGCATATTACAGAACTAAGAAGCAACGTCTGATTTTCTACGAACTATTCACCGTTAACACTCCGCGTCAACAAAAGACAGCACGCGCTCTACAAATAAGCTTTGCGACAAACGCGCTTGGGCTTCCGCTTCACTGCAACACGCCACCAGATAGACTCAGCCACGCGCACTCATTGCGAACAACGAATTGGGTCGACGTGTCGGCATGGTGCGCGACATTTTTCTGTACATTCTTTTAATTGTTTTATTTTGCCTGATTTTCATGGCGCAATTACTGGTTAACGTTTACGCCTTTCAACGACAACCGCCCACCACGAAGTCAGATCGCGCCGACATTAGTTTTGTATAAGCTACGAGCAGCACGTGACACATGTGTTGCGCGGAGGTCGCGCGTTTGCAGAGAATGGCGGCAGACGCCCTAGCCCGCGGCCAGTGGGCACAAACTGACCACCAGAAAGCATTTAAACCGCTGAGAGTGTTGCTGCACTAGAGATGTACGCACAAAGAGAAAAGAATAACGGCGGATTGCAGACCGACAATCAGGTCGCGCTCTAAAGCCATTTCTATAAGCGCGTAGAACGTCAGATTGCGGCGGCGGCGGCGGCCACAGCGGAATGACTGTGTGGATTAATTATGGTGCAAGTGTATCCTGCAGCAAAGTCACGGTTTCAATTAAATGTCAGCACAACAAAGAGAAGTGGGTACTTCGGTTGGATAAGAGCTGTGACGCGACGAGGAGCCAGAACACAAATGCGGAACTTAAGCTAATTAAAGCTTACGCAAAACTGAAAAAAATGTACTAAAAAGCAACAGTAAATGTAAAATGACAGAGAGAACGACAAGCAACGACAAATAAAAAGCAAAACAAAACAAAACTACGAAGTTAAACGAATTACAGCGCGATGACAGTAAATGCATAAGTTCACGAAGTATAAACAAATAAAAGCACGAATGACATTCCGAAAACTATAAATATTAATTAAAAAGTGAAAATTAACAACCTAACCTAAATTTAAAATAAAAGTTGCCAGATATCAAACAGAGAAAAATAAACCATGTAATTGGGTTGGCTTCAGGAAAATTTACTGAAATTTTTAATTGAAATACACACAAAATGAAAAAACAGCGAACATTTTGCAGTGGTGGAAATTGGCAGAACGTTTTCGTACCAGAAGGTCGCTTTAAATAGACTTCAGCGTGACAAGGCGCTTTGGTATGATGTAAATAAGAATAACGGAATATTGATGAAGGTCACAAAAGGAGCTTAGTAGAACATGTAGTGTTGCCGGGAGCGGGTTTTGAGAGTGGAAGAGGTCGAATGCATGTATATTTTAGGATTTAAGACTTTTTAGATTACATATTAATAGTAAACCATGTTTCATAAATATTTTCATATTTTAGGCTAAGTATTTAATCGTATAACATATACATAGTTTGTATAATACAAACTGTAAGCTCTCTTAAATACATATTTATGACAATATTTAGTCGATTTTTTGTGACAAGTTGCTTCAACATTTAATATACGCCGCTGTTTGATATAATATATATAATTATATTTAGGAAAAAGCACAATAATTTTGCTCCAAAGCTTCTAAACCATTTGTTTTTCTTTTGGCGTAGATGATTACACATTAAGAGCTTTCATTTACTTCTTAAAAACGTTGAGAAAACTTCTTCTATCTATCCCAGTTAACGTTAACGCATAAAATTGTGTTTAAAAAACAATTAATAGCAGAGTGATGTGAAAATGAAAGCTATGTTTAAGCTCAATATGAAAGTTCGTAAAGTATTACGAGTTTAACCGCTATTGCTTGTGGTAGCTGTTTTGTTCAAAGGCATATTTATTAGTAATACATTTTACATACAATTTTATTTTTATTGAAACATTATTAAATTCTCATAGCTTGACCTAAATAAGAGGCGTTTTACGAGCACAAGCTTTCACATATACACAGATATGAGTTAACACATATTTTAAGAACAATGCATTTACCACCATTTAGACATTATAAAGAAGTTATCAGCAAATCTTCCATAGTAGTCAGCAAATATACAAGTATATAATACGTAGATTTAAAATATGGAAGGAAAAATAATTTTTTGATTCAGAAGCAACATTTAGTTGTGTAAATGTATAAAATGCAAGGCATTTCTCTAAAATGCGCACAGAAAGAAAATTCTAACGAACTAAGTATAATATATGTATAGGAATGTAAAATATATTTAAGTATGTATATCTTTGCGTTTTGCGTTTGCAGTGCTCATCCGATTGATGCCAAGTGCGTGCTTCGCTACTTGTTTGCATATTTCGTTTATCATCATCTCTCCCATTTACTATGCAAATAAAATCACTAAGACGGTTTGCATAATTTTTATGGAAAGCGTGTGATTTACTTGAATATAAATATGCTTTAGCTGAGGAATGATATGAACCAGTGGAAGCTTTTCTTAGATTCTCTTTGAACCAGTACCAGTCCAGTTATTGATACTATTGTGAGTGTGATGAGCATGCCTACCAAAAGAGAGTAAAATAAGTTGACAAAGAGATCGGAGAAATATAAATATTCACTTCAACCTTCACTGGAGAAGAGAGCGCTTTCTTCAAATTCGTTTCTTAATCCAATAAACAAACTTCCATTTAAATTGCATCAGCTATAATCAGTAAGGAACTAGTTACTTATAGGTGTCTACTGTTCAATTCTCCTCGCGGTTTTTTCCCAGGGTATTAGGGAGATTTCGTGTGCACGTCCTCCAAGCGAAAATATTTAATTTTAAGCGTACAAATAAATCATCTGAGTCATTAAAATTATGTGGCAAGTAGCAGAGTGAAACCAACAGCGGCAACATTATGAACATTGACAGCAGCTGCTACAAACAAGCTTATCTACAACTCAGCTTTATCACCATCGTACTACATATCTTCAGCTGCCACACCAACGGCATAAGCAGGAATATTAGCGTAATCACCAGTGGCAACTTGATTTAGTCAAAGCACACACACATATATACTTTTATTTGGATGTGGTGTGCACTTGCATCGCCCAACAAAGCTAACCGTTGCTCTTGACGCACTCTTCACAAGATTCTAAAAGCGATAGTTTTGTATAACTTTTGCACTCACACACACAAACACATGCGTACATACATAGTAATGTATATATAACTCAAAACAAATCAAAAGAAGTCTATATTTCAGTAAATTGAATTTAATTTCGTTTTTGACTGATAAGAATACCGCTCTCTCTCTCTCTCTCCTCTGAGTGGCTTTAACTGCTCATTTTATGCTCATTTTCCAACGTCATTTGCTTTAACATACATACATATATGTTAATGTGTTTGAGCTCATAATTGAAAACAGTGATTTTGTCATCAACCGTTAGAAGTAATTATATTAACTATTTTCGAATTATGTAAATTAAAATTACACACAAATACATATCTACAAGTGTATGTATAGCAGTGATATGTATATATGTGTGTTAGTAGGTCCGTGGGTGTTGGTAATCGAGAAAGCTTTGCAAACTGTTTGTGTAAGTAACTTATAATCAAGTAAATAGTTGCAAACAAAAGCTCAACATCTAGCAATACACTCACTCATACAGAGGCATATTCAAATGTTGCGGTATGCTTTGCTATGATTATGCTGCCAACTTGATTCGATAAAACTTTTCTAATAACATTTTGAAGTTACTCCTTAATTTGGCTCTATTTCTTTACAATAAGGGTTGCAACGTGTTTTAGAAAATTGTGTTGATATTTTAATTCAATACAATTAAGAAAGCGTCGGCAAAGTTTTATGCATAAATAAGTGTATGTGTTACGTAAATTGTTAATTTCGAATTTATTTTTATATTTTTTATTGTTGAATTTTCATTAACTTTTGAATTAAAACTGGTTATACATGAGTATACAAAAAGCTCCAAAAGCCATAGAGAGAAAATCCCCAAAAGAGGGAGAGAGGAAGATAGGGAGAGATGGAGAAGAGAGAAGATAGAGCACGTGACGAAAAATTTTAATCCAGATGTCAAAAAAACATTTTTTAGTTTTTCTTATGAATTTCTTGTTTACATTTTGAAGATTTTGTGTGATTTACAATCTATTCGTAATCAGTTATCACTCAAAAGACACATTTTCATTGGTTGAAATCTTTAAAAACTTAGTTTTGAATCATAAAAACAAAACAGAATGGCTAATTTTGCTATGATGAGTTTAAACATTTTTGACAAATTGTTGTTTTTGGCTTATCGACACCACCTTTTATAATTGAGTCATGATGGATAGGTTTTTTAATTACATCAAACATTTTAATTGCTTGATTGACAAATTATTTTTTTTTTTTTCAATTTTCTATGTTGCCAGATCGTAATATGCTTCCGTGAGGATCTTCCATTTGTTGCTTCCATTTTGTTCAAAAATAGTAAGACTTGCACGATAATAATATTTAGAACAATAACTGAAAATTGTAAAATAATATTTTTGAATTTTGCAAATTGCGAGAGTGATGATATACGGTTTCAGATAACTCTGCAGAAAGTACCTTTAAACATTACTTTTAAAGAACACAATCAAAATGAGAGCAAGCGTTGAAATAGTAAGCAAATATGCATCGCAAAAACTCATTATACCTGAGCTTGTATACAGTTATATTGAAACAAGAACAGATACCGATCCAGCAAGCACAGATTATTAGAAGCAACGAATTTATTCACTAAATAAATATGATAACGATAATTTGTATGCTAATCATCATAAATGTATGATAATATGGATTTCATGTGTATTATATAACTAGAATGAAAAAATTTCCTCTTGATTCGATGAGAAGTGCATAACAAAATAACGGAGCTTGCAAAGTAAATCAAAAAATTGGCGCAAAATCAAGATTTTACGAATAATATGAGTTTATATGATTGAATGCATGTGTGTTTTATGTACTAACATAAGCAAGGATAACATAATTATAAGAGGCTATGAGAAAATGCGAAAGTTCGCACAAAAATACCGATTATATAAGCAACAATTAGTACTAAGTATGGTAATTAGGAAGGTTCCGAACAATATTGAACAATAATAGTTTTAGTATTCAACTCAATATTTCTTATTATAATGTAGTTTTAAAAATATATAGCGCAGTGTACTCATGAATGTTATCTAAAGTAGTTCGAAACAAACATACAGACAAGTTTTTTTAAAATTTTTTTTCAGAAACTAAATATAAACGAAAACGATTACTCTTTCGAGAAATGTATGTAGTTAGTTACACAAAAATTATAAAATAAGTTTCGCAATTATATCGCAAATATTGTAATTATCAAGTAATCAATATAAACCAATTAAAATTGAGCGCATAATAAAGATGAACATTTATCATAATCGTTGTGTTTGTGTAAGTGACGACTGTTATTAATTTGATTATTATGTTTGAATTAAAAGGCGGTGAGCT